CCATTTAGACAATGTTTTCATTTTTTCCTTTACTGGGGGATGCAGGCATCCCTGAAATATGGGGGAAGGGGAATGAAGAACCTGACTGTTGCTAAAATAACATAAGAAAAATAAATCTGTGGATTTCTAGATGAAAATGGAATCTTGAGCAATGAACAGCTTGTGTTTACAAAGAAAAAAAATCACATAATGAAACATGACTGCCTTTGCTCTTGGTTCATAATTAAAAGTAGTGAAAGAAGGGGAAGCTGTAAAAGAAAAATAGTTTGCATTTCAGAAGTTAGAAACTCCATTAAAAAATCTTGAAAAATTACTTGAAAAATTCATCATAAGTGGCTTGGATGTTAGCCACTACATGGCTTACACTAGATAATAGAATGGCAATAAAAATCAATAAGAATATCATTCCATTTCACTGAAGAAAACTGTCTATTCAAGTCTCCTTAAGGTTCAGGGCAAGTCAGGTTTATTAAATATCTTTATTCATAATCTGGGAGATATATGTTCAGTTCTATTCTTTACATAATGTATATTACATCACACTCAGAGAAAATGTAGTGTGTTACACTAAACTAAGAAGCAGCTTGGTAGAATGGAAAAGGTGTTTAGGTTTGGAGGCAAAGTAGTTGGATCCAAATCCAGGCTTTTATACATACTACCTGTTTGATTTTAGGCAGATCACCTATCCTATATGGATCCCAGTTGCTTAATTTGTAAAATGAAAAGGTTGGACTAGATCCCCACTAACTTTCCTTCCAGTTCTAAATTTATGATCTTGTGAAGCTCAGAAAAGTCTCTCTTTTGCACCACCCCTGGTTTTTACCACCCTTGCCCAATACCTCTTTGCTGTTCTTTAAATTGGCTTTTAGATTCTTCATTTGCACCAACATATGAATGAATGATGAAGAACATTTCGTCTAAGAGGTCTCTGTAAATTTAATAAGGATCAAATTCTCAAACTAAAGCGATGTAACTTGAAAGAAAGTGGATAGTACAGGGGGCAATGAGTCTTCCCAGAAAACCATGACTATTTTGCCACCATGTTAGATTGATTGTACACAGGAAGTGCAAAACATATGAGGCAACATGGTAGAGCGAAACAATCTATGGACTTGGGTGCACAAAAGTCCTGCATTTGAGTACTGTCTTTGAAACATACTGATTGTGTGACCACGAACAGCTGATTTAATCTCTTTGGATCATAGTTTTTACCTGTAAAATGGGATGACAATATGATATAAATATAAAAATAATAAAATATAAATATGAATAATATGATGCTAACTAATGATAACATAAATATTAAAGTGTTATGTTAATATGTGAACTAAGTGGTGCAGTGGATAAAGTGCCAGGACTGAAGTTAGAAAGACTCATTTTCCTAAGTTCAAATCTGGGCTCAGACACTTACTAGCTGTGTGACCCTGGGCAAGTCACTTAACTGTTTGCCTCAGTTTCTTCATTTGTAAAATTAGCTGGAGAAGGAAATAGCAAACCACTATAGTACCTTTGCCAAGAAAACTCCAAAAGAAGTCACAAAGATTCAGACACAACTGAGAAAGACTGAACAACATTATCATAATCAGAGTGCCTGTATCCCAGAATTATATTGGAAAAAATGAGTACAAAAGTCTAGGCATGTTTTATCTGTTTTAGCAGCATAGTTTCTAACCATCTTGTGGGTAGGGACTTGATCTAATTAACCATCTTCCTCTTTCCTCTACCCCTCACATGCTTAATAAATGTTCAGCAAATGAACCTTGAAAAAGTGCTTGTCTCAAATGAGTATCAGTGGCTTGCCTGTTGACTGCCTTTTGGGAGCCTTTTCCCATCCCTAGTCAGGTCTTCATTTGGGCCCCTTTTTCTGGGATTATAGACAGTCAATATCAAGTATTACCTGATGGCATTATATGAATGTACTGAAGGAAATCTTATTTTCTAAGTGTTCATTAGAGTGCCTTCTTGCCATTTGCAATTTCCCCTTACCCTCAATATAGGTAAAGCATTGATGTTTTATACATATATACATACACATATGCATATATATGTGTGTGTGATATGAATATATAGTATGTGTATATATATATATATGTATATGCATGCCATTCAGTCAGTTCAATATACAGTCCTATTGCCCACTGCTAGTTTCATGTAAAGCAGAAATTAATAGGTGAAAGAAAATAGAATCCATTTCTCTAACTACTTCTATGGTCATTGGAAGATAAATTCTCACACCCTCCCATAAAGTCATGGAGAAATCCTCTCCAAGTTTTAATAATAAATCTGATATCTCAAATATAGATCAACTAATCAGACCAATATTGATTTTTCAAATTCAATGGCAAGGAATAATACTATGCAAGAAAAATCCAGAATTAGAAATCATAGAAATAAAAATTTGGAGCTGGAAGGGACCTCAGAAGATATCTAATTTAACCCTCTCATTTTATATTTGTCTAAGGAACCTGAGTGACTTGCCCATGGTCACAAAGATCAGTAGTGTCAATGGTGGGATTTGAACATGGATCCTCTAATTCTTTGCACTTTAGTACATTACTTGACAAAGCACAGGTACTCTGTCTTATGAAAAGATTGAAAGAAAAGAAGGAAGGAAGGAAGGAAGGAAGGAAGGAAGGAAGGAAGGAAGGAA